AGGGTGCACCTGTTGGGCTCAAAGCCGCTTGTGATCTACACAGATCATGCGTCATCACGCACTACAATTGAGTCGCTTCACCTCTCGCAGAAGATGGCCACGTGGCTCTCCTTTGCAGAATATAACCTCAGGTTGAAGTATAAGCCTGGAAAGCAGAATGCTTTTGCTGATGTGTTGCCACGCAGACCAGATTATGACCTTGTTCATGTCACGACGGTGACGTCGTCAGTAACGGATTTGATCCGCGCCGCACACGCGGGTGATGGTATATGTGTAGCGCTGCTACAGGCTCTCGAGATCCAGGAGTTCAAAATCTCGGACAAGAAATTGTTGGCGGGTTTGCGCGCACGGTTACACTGATATTCGTTGAATCACGGGCTGCTGTATCAAAGCACCGATTCGACGGATATGCCACGACTTGTGGTTTCTCATGATGAGGATCCGGAACACCTTATCCTCTATGAGGCCCACGACACCCTACTCAGTGGTCGTCCCGGTCGTGAGAAGACGTACAGCTCCGTGGGTTGCCACTACTGGTGGCATAAGCTGGTCGAATGAACGAGCCCATATGTGCGCACGTGTAAGACGTGTCAGAGGGTAAACCCTCTCCGAATGAGGCGGCGACGTTGGTCAGTTTACCAATATCCTCCGGGAGTTCCCAGTCCATGAGTACGGACTTTGTGTCTGGCCTGCCGAAGGGCTTGGCGGGCAACATGGGTGTGGTGGTGTCTATGGACCGTTTGAGCAAGATGTCTCATCTTGCGGCAGTGCCGGACATCATAGACGATGTTGGTACAGCGACGCTGTTTGTCGATCGTGTCCTTTGACAAAATGGACTCTCGGAGTCAATTGTCTCTGATAGATACTGGGAAGATTTGGTTTACACTCTTCAGGGTGCTGGGCACCAAGTTGACTATGTCAACAGCGGACCATCCGCAGACCGATGGTAAGACTGAGCGCGTGAATCACGTCGTTGATGACGTTCTTCGCAGCGTTTGCACTGAGACGCCAAAGCGCTGGAGTGCTATGCCGTCACTCATATTGTGTGCTCTGAACAATGCAGTGCATTCATCTGCCGGCTATACGCCGTTCTACGTGATAGGGCTTATTAGTTTCTCGCCGCTGACACCGTTAGCCAATGGCATAGGGTTTGGTGGGGAAGGATAAGCCGAGCGACTAGTCGTATCAGCCCCCTCACTGTCCGTAAAGAAGTCGGAGACTTCCTGTCGACTAGACTGAGTGTCTTTGCGTATCGCTAAACCTTCAGATAAGGATGCGCACCCACCCGGGGTATGTGTGGGCTTGCTTAAGCCGTACCAGGATCCGGCACAAGTGAACGCGGGGGTGTTGGCGCCGAGGCGGCGCTCTAAGGCGATCGGCCATTCATATGCTGAACCAGCAACTGGTTCTGAGCACGGAGTGCAACAACTTCTGTTTACAAAGGCTAAAGGCGCTCCACCGTCGCACGAAGAGATGTTTTGGTCTTCTCGACAGTCAGGAGCCGCTCCCACAGAGCACGAAAATCCTTAACGTGAAGCAGTCAGTCCACAAAGTGCTCCAGACTATTGAGGCCTTCCTCACAGCGGAAGACGATCTCGGATAAATGCTCGGCAGAGTGCCGATAAAAAAGGACCTTGTCCTCCATAGCTCGAAGACCATCGCGAGTCACCTGACGGCGATCGACCAAGTCGTCACAGAGTCGTCCGACGCCGACTCTTCTTGATGAGAACGGTGGCGTCCACTACCACGTGGAACGCCTTGTGGGTCGATGTCGTGGACAGGGTCTAACCCAGTATCTTGTGGAGTGGCGGGGATACCCAAATTTCAAGAACTCTTGAAAGTTCGAG